TCTTTTCATTTCATTCTTCTTCTTCTTTTCATTCTTCTTTTCTTCTTCTTTTCTTCTTCTTCTTTCTTCTTCTTCTTTTCTTCTTCTTCTTCTTCTTTTCTTCTTTTTCATTTTCATTCTTCTTTCTTCTTCTTCTTCTTCTTTTCTTCTTCTTTCTTCTTTTTCTTTCTTCTTTTCATTCTTCTTCTTCTTCTTCTTTTTCTTTTTCTTTTCATTCTTCTTTTCATTCTTCTTTTCATTCTTCTTTTCATTCTTCTTCTTCTTTTCTTCTTCTTCTTTCTTTCTTCTTCATTCTTTCTTTTCATTCTTCTTTTCATTCTTTTCTTTTCTTCTTCTTCTTTTCATTCTTCTTCATTCTTCTTTTCTTCTTCATGAAAAGAAGAATGAGAAGAAAAAGAAGAATGAAAGAAGAAGAATGAAAAAGAAGAAGAAGAAGAAGAAAAAGAAAAAAAAATGAAAAGAAGAATGAAAGAATGAAAAGAAGAAGAAAAAAGAATGAATGAAGAAGAAGAAAAGAAGAATGAAAAAGAAGAAAAAGAATGAAAGAATGAAAAGAAGAATGAAGAAGAATGAAAAGAAGAAGAAGAATGAAAAGAAGAAAAGAAAGAAGAAGAAAGAAAAAATCTTTTTCATTCTTCTCATTCTTCTTTTCATTCTTCAATCTTCTTCTTCTTCTTTTCTTCTTTCTTTCTTCTTTTTTCATTCTTCTTTTCTTCTTCTTCTTCTTCTTTCTTCTTCTTCTTTTCTTCTCTTTTTCATTCTTCTTCTTCTTCTTCTTCTTCTTCTTTTCATTCTTCTTTTCATTCTTCTTCTTCTTCTTCTTCTTTTCATTCTTCTTCTTTTCATTTCTTCATTCTTCTTCTTTTTCATTCTTCTTCTTCTTCATTCTTCATTCTTCTTCTTCTTTTTTCTTCTTCTTTCTTCTTCTTCTTTCTTCTTCTTTCTTCTTCTTCTTCTTTCTTCTTCTTCTTCTTTCTTCTTCTTTCTTCTTCTTCTTCTTCTTTTTCTTTTCTTCTTCTTTTTCTTCTTTTCTCATTCTTCTTTTCTCTTCTTCATCTCATTCTTCTTCTTTCATTCTTCTTCTTCTTCTTTTTCTTCTTCTTTTTTTCATTCTTCTTCTTCTTTTTCTTCTTCATGAAAAGAAAGAATGATGAAAAAGAAGAGAAGAAAAGAAGAATGAAAAGAAGAAAAGAAGAATGAAAAAGAATGAAAAGAGAATGAAAAAGAAGAATGAAAAGAAAAGAAGAATGAAAAGAAGAATGAAAGAAGAATGAGAAGAAGAAAGAAGAATGAAAAGAAGAATGAAAAGAATGAAGAAGAAAAGAAGAAGAAGAAAGAAGAATGAAAAGAAGAAGAATGAAGAAGAATGAATGAAGAATGAAAAGAAGAAGAAGAATGAGAAGAAGAATGAAAAGAAGAAAAGAATGAAAAGAAGAATGAAAAGAAGAATGAAAAAGAAGAAGAATGAAAAGAAGAATGAAAGAAGAATGAAAAGAAGATAATGAGAAGAATGAAAAAGAAGAATGAGAAGAATGAAGAAGAAGAAGAATTCCAAGAAGAAGATCCTCAGAAAGAAAGAAGATGAAAGAAGAAAAAAAGAATGAAAAGAAGAAGAATGAAGAAGAAGAATGAAAAGAGAGAAGAAGAAGAATCTGAAAAAGAGTCATTCATTGTCATTCTTCTTTTCATTCTATTTCTGACAGTTCTTTTCTCATTCACTCATACAGCAGTTGAAACATTGTATCTATTTGTCTTTTCATCTTTTCTGGAAACAAATAGATACAATGTTTCAACCGCTGTATGGATGTGAATGTCAGAGAACTGTCAGAAATAGCGGAGCTCTGCAGATACACTTAGGAGCTCTGCAGATACACTTTTTGCCGGCTTTCTTTCTTCTTATTTTCATTCCTACTTCTTCTTCTTCTTCTTCCTTCTTCTCTTCTTCTTCCTCATCCTCTCCTCTTCTTCTTCTTGATGAGGATGAGGATGAAAGAAGAAGAAGAAGATGTAGGATGAAAATAAGAAGAATTCCAAGCCGGCAAAAAGTGTATCTGCAGAGCTCCTTAAGTGTATCTGCAGAGAACTATCTTCTTCAGAAATAGCTTTTGAGCTCTGCAGATACACTTAGCTCTCTGCAGATACACTTTTTGCCGGCTTGGAATTCTTCTTATTTTCATCCTTTCCTCAGAAGAAGAGGATGAGGATAAAGAAGAAGAAGAAGAAGAAGAAGAGATAGAAATAGGATGAAAATAAGAAGAATTCCAAGCCGGCTTCTCCTTTGTATCTGCAGAGCTCCGCTAAGTGTCTCTGCAGAGCTCCGCTAAGAAATAGCGGAGCTCTGCTCATTACACTTTTTGCCGGCTTGGAATTCTCCCTTCTTCTCATTCTTCTTCTTCTTCTCTCATCCTTCTTCTTCTTCATCCTTCTCCTTCTTCTCATCCTTCTTCTTCTTCTTCTCATTCTTCTTCTTCTCTTCTTCTTCTCTCATCTTTCTTCTTCTTCTTTCATTCCTTTCTTCTTTTCTCATCCTCCTCTTCTTCTCATCCTTCTTCTCCTTCTTCTTCATTCTTTCATCCTCCTTCTCCTTCTTCTCATCTTCTCTTCTTCTTCTCAATCTTTCATTCTCATCTTCTTCATCCTCTCTCCTTCTTCTCATCCTTCTTCTTCTTCTCATCCTTCTTCTTCTCCTCCTTCATCCCTTCTTCTTCTTCTCATCCTTCTCCTTCTTCTCATCCTTCTTCTCTTCTTCTCATCCTTCTCCTTCTTCTCCTTCTCATCCTTCTTCTTCTTCTCATCCTTCTCCTTCTTCTCTCATCCTTCTTCTTCTTCTCATCCTTCTTCTTCTCATCCTTCTCCTTCTTCTTCTTCCTTCTTCTCATCCTTCTCCTTCTTCTCATCCTTCTTCTTCATCCTTCTCCTTCTTCATCCTTCTCCTTCTTCTCATCCTTCTCCCTTCTTCTCATCCTTCTTCTTCTCCTTTCCTTCTTCTCATCCTTCTCCTTCTTTCTATCCTTCTCCTTCTCTTCTTCTATCCTTCTCCTTCTTCTCATCCTTCTCCTTCTTCTCATCCTTCTCCTTCTTCTCATCAAGGGCATTTAAATTAAAGGTACAGTGTTCTGCACTAATATAAAGGCTCTCTGAAGCCTAGAAAACCCTTTTTATAAGTTAAATTTCGTAGCGAATAAATTCGCATTCGAATCGAATTTCTTCCTCAAATTCGGCGAATCAGCCGAATCGAATTTTTGAATAATTCGCTCATCTCTAATTATGATCATCAGTGGGGTACTTCTGCAAATCAGTCCATTAAGGAGTTGCAGCTGATTCCAATCTTTTAAAACTGGAATCAACTTGGTTCCCTCTGAAGATTCACTTAGCAGAAGCTCAGACCAGTGGCTTTCAAGAGATTCCTAAATTAAACCACAATTAGACAGCAGAGTAGCTCTTCTACATTATCTCTTCTTAAATACTTCTTACCAAGGATAGGCAGGACTCCATTGTTCACTCAAATCAGGTTGCAAGAGTTTTGGGATTCCTATAGCACTAAAATCTATGGCCTTGACCCCTGACTTTTCCACCTCCCCTTTCCTAGGTACATCCAATGTTGAAAGGCATGTGACCTTGTATGGTACAGGAATAGGGAACAGCACATTGAGTGCCCTACTTTTCCTGGCCACCCAGGCTGTATGCCTGGATAAGAGTCTGGTTAGAGAATCAAGGGAAACCCCAGGGAAGTTTTTCCCCATCTGTTTTAAATGTCACATTTTTAAAGGACCACATTGCTCTGACAACATGTAAACCAATAAAACAAACAAAGGTGATAAAGGGCTCAAATTATTATGTGTGTACTATGAGACAGCTACACTCACTATTATTGGATGCAAATATTAAGAGATATATTAAAAAAAGTCTTGTGCTGTCTCTTTAAATGATAAGCTCAAAAGATATGCAGCAACCTTCTTTCAAAACAGCACATAACTTTAACCATCAGTGTGAATCAAAGTGTTCCATATACAGATGTATATATTTAAAAAAAAACAAAAGTATGTGAATAACACAGCACTTCAAAAAATGTAACTCCTCCGTGCAATCAATCCATCCAGTACTCCTCCACTTGCATGCCAAACTGCTTACCAGATTGCTAGACCCCACAATTACAGAGGTCTAACAATGCTTAATAGTTTTCATTCAGATCACTGCTGAATTGGAGATTCCCCCATTATATAACCATTGACGGCCTCCAAAGATCAATAGTACTCAGCATGGAAGAGACACAGAACACAATTCCATATTGCAGTAATTTGGAAACCTGTTTATTAAAGAAATATAGGTACTTAGAAACAAAAAAAATCCAAACATGTCACAAAAGTGCTTCACTCTCTCCATTGGGCGTGATGATGTCACCAGGTGTTATTCAAAGGCTTTTGAAATGCATTTTAATTTATCATGGAGCACTGTGATTCACGTTGATGGTTAAGGTTATGTGATATATATTGAAAGAAGGTTGCTGTGTATCTTTTGAGTTTGAAATTTAACCTCCTGCCCTCCCGAGGATTTACCCCCCTTCCTGACCAGGAGATTTTTTGCTATACGGTGCTGCATTATTTACCTGACAATTGTGCAGTCATGCAACGCTGCACCCAAATTAAATGTGCGGCCTTTTTTTGCCCACAAATAGAGCTTTCTTTTGGTGGTATTTGATCACCTGTGTGTCTTTTTATTTTTGCCCTATAAATAAAAAAACTGACAATTTTGAGAAAAAAACAATATTTTTGACTTTTTGGTATTAAACATGTCAAGTAAAAAAATTTTAAAAATCAAATTTCATCATAAATTTATGCCAAAATATATTTTGCTATATCCCAATATGTGTAAATTAGTTGATTTATGTGAAAGTTATACGTTTACAAACGGTGGTATATATACAATGGAATTTTTTTTTGTGATTTCTTTTTTTAGTAGTAATGGTAGTGATCAGCAACTTATAGCGGGACTGTGGGACTGCGGGACTGCGGTGGGCATTCTGGCACTGGGGGGAACTGACTTGGTGTCACTGACATCCCCAGAGAAAAAAAGTAATAAAAAGCACTAATACTGTACTAATAGCACTGGGCAGGAAGGGGTTAACATGAGGGGCGATCAAAGGGTTAACTGTGTGCTGTTTTACTATGAGGCTGTGAGCTGTGTTTTCACTGTAAGCACACTGGTTTGTATGACTCTGCTATGCAGAGCCATACAAAGCAGTGTGCAGGAGCTGACAGGGTAGAGATCTGTATTGTTTAAACACAGGTCTCTCCCCCCGTTGGAAATACTCACGATCACTGGGTGCTGGCAAGAAATCACCGGCCAGGACCTGGTGATTTGACAGCCAAGGCTGTGAATGGCAGCGCAGGTAGGGCGCCCACACACGCCCCCTACTCAGATCTGCAAATGACGTACAGTATATATATATATATATATATATATATATATATATATATATATATATATATTATATATATATGTGTGTGTGATTTTGCACACCTGTGCACCCAGTAGCAGTATTTCTGCTATAGGAAATGTGTGATTGTTTCTGTGTTTGATGTGCTGTAAATAATTAATGACACTGAAAGTGCAACTAGGTCATTGTAGGTGTATAAAGGTGGGCATACACTATACCAAGGCTTGAAATTTCCACTCGCCTGCTCGCCAATGGTGAGTGGAAATTATGGTGGGGGCAAGTGTGTCCCCCAGGACCGTCTTGCTGAGCAGGCTCAGAGCTCAGGCCGGATCTGTCATTGGCACTGGAAGCCGTCAGACTGTTCAATAGCTGAGCGCAGTGAAAGCAAAGGAAGGACTGTGTGTTGTGCTCTCTGCCTCCCCCTAGAGTGCAGTACCCGGCTCTGTGAGTGAACAACGAAGTACTGCAACTTTTTATAGTGTGTGTCTGTGTATGCATGTACATGTGTCTGTGTATGTATGTACATGTGTCTGTGTATGTATGTACATGTGTCTGTGCGTGTGTATTTCTGTGTATGTACATGTATCTGTGTGTATGCATGTCTGTACGTGTGTATACATGTGTCTGTATGTGTGTGTTTGTACATGTGTCTCTGTGCATTTGTGTACATGTTTCTGTGTGTGTATGTGTGTGTGTATGTACATGTCTGTGTGTGTGTACATGTGTCTGTATGTCTGTGTATGTACATGTCTGTGTGTGTGTAGAGGTGTCTTTGTTTCTGTGTGTTTGTTGGTGGTGAGTAACTCTTAAGGCCTGGCTAGTAGCTCAGGACTTGAAATTTTAAGCCCTGCACTATACAATCTGATTGTACAATCTCTGTACAATCTCCTTTAGATTTACCAAACCTATATAATAAGAGGACACAGCAGCTATCCAATCACTCGGCCTGAGCCTTTCTGTAGAGATGCTGGGGTAGCCAGGCAAATGCACGTGGGGAGAGATCCCGGGGATGTTGTGAAAAATGGTTGATACGTGAAGGGTGTGTACTAATGAGGTCAGTGCAGGGTGTGTGTGCTAATGAGATCAGCTGGTTATCTGCTTCTGAGGTCTTACTGGCTCCTCTGTCCTCTGTCTACATTCCAGGAATTGAAAGAGCTTTCCAAGAAATTTACCAAAGGCCTTGCTCTGCAGATCTCCAGATCAAAGATACCTTGTATATTTTTGCAATTGAAGTACATCAATGGTATATTGGTGCATAGGGGAGCCAGATTTTATAGAAAAACATTTTGATTGGTACATATCACCATTGGAAGTGCCCAGATACCCATGTTCTTTTTTTAACAATAGCTTACCTATTAGCCTTGACAAAGAAAAAATAGCTAGTTTCTCCTCCCACAGTCATCAATAGGGTTCACTGCTAACTATTGTGAACCTTAACTATAGTGCGCTATTGTATTCTGACAGGATATGCAGATCAGCGCTTGCAACCACTTGGTGCAAGTTCTGATATTATTTTCTGTGTAATAGCACACCTTACTCTAGTCTTAGAATTTTAAAGAGAAAGTTTGTCACATTCTGGGATCAGGCTTGGAGGCCAGTGGCTGTAGCAATTGAGAGGTTCACAAGCAGTCAGCTGGACATATACAAGTAGATCCCCTAGTGAATGACCCAGGCTCACTAGAGGCATGGGTCTAAGCACTAGCTGGTCTTCCCCAGAGCTCCTGATGGTGGATATGGGTTTTGCTGTGTGCTAATTCCAGATCTCAGTGCCCTGGATTGTCCCAGCAGGAAAAAAGCAAGTGGGGGTCAGCTAACGGAGTAGACAAAGAACAAGCAGAAGCGTAAGTCAACGCTAAAAAAAGCCAGAAGGTCAGTAACGAGTAGTAGCTAAATGGGATCAGGCAGAAGCATAGTTGATGAACAAGTCAAAAGGTCAGTAACGAGTAGTAGCTGGATGGGATCAGGTGGAACTATATTCAATAAATGAACCAAGTGTCAATAACAAATGATAGCAAAGATAAGGAGAGCTGCAGGTACGCAAGGAGCAAGATATCGTCTGGAGAATGCACAATAATCTGGCGAACAGGAACTTCAGAGATATGGCTTGAATCAGGAATGCAAAGTAAGGTTGTCCAAGAAATCAGGAAGAGAGCTGTCCAGCATTCCCGGTGGCACAGCGACAAGAGTCACAGCCAGAAACGAATATATATTGTTGTGCCTTCCCTTTAAATACCATTACACCTTATAAATATTGTGCACATTATAAATGTCCTTTTTGTCATTCAACTACCGTTGTGATGATAGAAATAAACAGTTCTTCTACTTTTTTAAGTCTCTTGTGCTCCTTGAATATGTGTAAGAAAATACCTGACTCCTTTTACCACTGTGCTCACCTCAATAGATGGACATGTGTGATTCAGGTCTTAAAATGCCTTTTTCCCTTTATGGGACCCTTTCAGATATATATACACTTCATTGTGTTGCGTGCATCAGTGCTCCTTTACTGCCCACTTCCGATCTCAGCAAGTACACCTGGCTCCACCTAGACATGTGTCATCATGTGACTTCCTCGGTAGGTTCTGAAGGTTCAGATCTGGATTCTGAAAAAGTTATTAAAATTAGAGTTCACTCTGATGGATTTATAAAGCTACAATTTTAATTTTCAACCATCCAGCTTAATTTATGACAACAGGAGAGGACATAAAACCCATCAGTGTTATTGATACTATTACAGTGCCTCTACTGCTAGTGCCCTGCCCAGAAGTAGAAGTGTGAAAGGCTGGTTAAGTAGAATTGGGGGTACAGTGATGCTGAGCAAGTAAAACTACAAAAAATGCTGTAACATAACACCTGTCTGTACAACAACCAAAAATACATGTACAACACTGCAAAATACATAAATAAATAAATGGGCCCTCAAACCAGAAAACCTGCTCTCTTGATATCGGTTTACAAAAAAGAAAATATTATGTGCTCTTATTACAATAACGTCTAATAAGTATACTACTTAAACTAAAGAAAACCGCACTAGGGCTTCAAAATGTGAGGCAATTAGTAGCAGGTGACACGATACCCTAATACGTGGTATACACAAATATTGTACGCAATAGTGCAGTGCTATGAAAATCACAATATTATACAATTCAAATCATGAGCGTATTGTGACAGTGTGACGATCTGTCACCCAGGATTCTCAACTAGGCAGGTTGAGGGGCTCCAGGGTAAGTGTTTGATACGGAGGAAAGTGGCTTTTCACTTTCCTCCTTTGTTTGTAAGGTCTGTTTTGGGATCTGGAGCCTGGAGATTTCAAAGAGATCTGGGAGGGATGAAATCTCCAATCCTGGGACCAGCGTTTGGGAATGGCCAGGAGACTGATTGCACAGGTGTGTGCAGGCCTTTTCAGAGAGTCAGGATCAGAGTTCTGGGCTCCACCCCGGCAGATAGGAGTCAGGAGGGCTCCACCCTGGCAGACAGGAGTCAGGAGGGCTCCACCCAGAAGACAGGAGTCAGGAGGGCTCCACCAAGAAGAGGTGGAAGCCAGACTAGCTGTGTGCTAGTGGCCAGCTGTGTGCGTGAGCCAAATTTTGGAAGGAGTCTGTAGGAGGCAGACATAAAACTGTGTACCAGCCAGGAGGCTGAATTTTCAGTTACATGTGTTTGATGGTGGATACCCCTGTGTGGGAAGAGCTTTTGTGGAACTTTTCTTTTAAATAAAATTGGGCAAAAAGGCCCTGAAAAATAAAGAAGCGAGTGGCTGTGTCCTTTGAAAACTCTACCATTTAGAAGCGAGTTCCCACAGTATGTACTGTATGACGCGTAATCATCACAAAAAAACTTACATAAACATATAAGTGCCTAAAAGTGATTAACCAAAAGTCCCAAATGAAGAGTCAAAAGATAAGTCAGGGGCACAGGTGACATTATCAGCCGTGCCCCTGATAACCTCACCTGTGATGAAACGCATTGGACAGAGCTGGAACACACGCCATGGCGCATGCGCAAACCAGCCATCTTGGTTTTTAGGAAAACAAACTGTAAATGTGATTTGAAGTGCCTGCTCATTACCTATCCATTGTAAGTGCATATACTTTATTAAAACTGCATACTCTACTGGTTTACACTATAAGGTGCTTGAGAGAAGCTAGACATCCTGTGGAGTGTATAGAGTGCTGTTTGACCACTCATCATTTGAAGTTACTTAACTCTGGTAAGCCCTCCTCTTTTACACACTGAGGTGGTGTGTGGCTTTACTACAGGAAAGTTCAGAGGCTGTTGGGATTCATATCTGTCCTGCTCTTGTCATGTATAGAAGATTGCCTACTTATGTTTTGGCTTTTCTGGTTTATTACTTTTAGGCACTTATATGTTTAGGTCATTTTGTGACACATTTTTTTTGTGATGATTGTGTCATACTTTCACTCATGATTTGAAGTATACAACTTACTTATTAGGCCAGTGATTTATTTATTATTAATTACAGGTACTTACAAAGTGCTGTTAATTTATGCAACACTTTACATATATATTGTACATTCACATCAGTCCCTAACCCTCAAGGGGTGTACAATCTAAGGTCCCTAACTTACATTCATACATACAAATACTAAGGCCAATTTAGACAGGAGCCAATTCACCTACCAGCATGTCTTTGGAGTGTGGGAAACCAGAGTACCCAGAGGGCACCCACGCAGGCACAGGGAGAACATGCAAACTCCAGGCAGGTGGTGCCGTGGTTGGGATTTGAACCAATGACACTAGTCCTGTCAGGCGGAAGTGCTAACCATTAAGCCATGATGCCATGGGGGTGGAATTCTTACCCTATATCCTACTCTTAATCTTATATCCTAATATGCTAGGTGAATCAAATATTTGCCCTGTATAATGAATGATTAAGTATAGTCTAGAAGAGTGAAATTTGCATAACTCTCTAGAGAAAAAAATGCATTTCATCTTAAACCAGAAACATGGTGGCAGATTTATACCAGACAGTGGAAATCATTCTCTGTTACACTTCACAGGACTATACAAACAGCAGTCTGCATGTGCAGGCAGGTCCTGCAATGCCCAATGGAGAACTCTGTGCTTATTAGTGTACCTAAAAGAATTGATGTTGTTTTAAAGCCAAAGGGTATTCAGATATTGATTTGATTTAGATTATTCTGTTTTTCACTCACTTTGCATTTTTTGAATTGATAAAAATAAACAAGTAAAATATATATTCTTGAAAGTATTCATACTTTATCATATTTCTTCACAACTTAGGCACAGTACTGTCACGTCAGTACAAACATCAAAATATTGAAGTCAGATATTGCTTTTATAACTTAGAACACTTTGCATATTTTGAATAATCCTTATTAGTATTACAAAGAAGATTAACGCATCAAAAAATCAAATGGTCAATTTTTCTGGCGAATAAATAAATATAGCATCATTTGTGTCCAGATCAACATATATGCCGTATAACCCAGGACCTTTCATTTTTTTTAATGTTACTTTCAATCCTTTTATTAAGGGTTTAAGCCAGGCATAGGTAGTGCAATTCTCTTTTCTGGAACCAAAGTTTGCTGGAAAGAAAATCGCTTGAATCCCCATAAACACAGTCAGTTGTGTTCTCCCGATGGGCGGAGCTGGGAGCCATCCCTGCTAGGAAAACACACAGTGATCATTGATAGCAGCTATAGCCACAGACAATAATCAAATGAAAAGTTCGACATGCTGGTTGTAATCAAGTCGATCAATTCTCCTCAACCCTATTCTGGCAGCAGTGGATGCT